TTTTATGGATGCATTGAAGTCACCAGTGATAATTGTATTTTCGATGACATATGATTCTAACTCTTCCAAATTTCTGGTTTGATCTGCCGGTCAGTAAATACCAATTATTCTAACTGATTCAGCAAGTCCACTAACATCAACAATAACTGTATTTTCAACATTAAAATCTATTCTTGATCCTCTTAGATGTTTACCTATTGCTACACATACACCTCCACTTTCGTTAGCTCCCTGTTGGTGAAAAATATTGAAATGAGGTATTCGAAATGTATTCCATAACTCCCCAACTTCCAAAAAAACACATATAGAGGCGTCTACTTTAAAAACAATATCAATTGCTTCTAAGCTTCTTGATCCCCAACCTTGTACATTATAGCAGAGAATGTTCAATGGAGTCTGTTCTTTTTCTATTTCTTTCGGAGTTATATTTTCTCATTTTGTGAAGATATTTTCTAGAGTACCTGCTGTAAAGCATCCAGTAAGAACTTCGTCAACTAGTTTTTCATCGTTTGTCTGAAATCCCCCATTCACGAAACTGTTTTATCGCTATTTCTTTAAGATTAGTTGTTCGGATTGTTGTTAGTTGTTTTCGACAGTTGAGATGAAGAGGGACGTGGAGGTGGAGATATACTACGCTTTCGTCGGGTCGTTTAATCAGAATTCAAGCGCGACAAAAAATTACTCAAGTTATTAAATAAAGATTGCAATTTCGGTTGTTTGTCCCTTAGTCCAGCAACATTAGCCAACATCATCGGTCAGATAAAATCACTAACTAATGATTCAAGTGTAGGCAGTAGTTTCATCAATGCTACGTGATGCAGTTCCATATCAAGAACTGTTTGATTAATCATATCATTCATACGATCTAATTTGTCATCTATACGCTGAGTATTCTCCTTCATATCTAAAATATTTTGTTTTGACTTACCGATAACAACATCTTTGCTGTATCATTACTTCCATTCATATTAGTTGTTTTTAGTGGCTGTGCTGAAGCTAGTTTCCAAGGAGTAGCATTAGGCATTTGCGATGGTAATGATGGAAAATCGTTTTATTTCATCTCGAATTGTATCGGCTGCGGATGATCTTGAGGTACTAATCGTTGTAGTTTGTCTGATAATATTGCATTATTAACTTGTTCTTTTAATTCAGATCGATATTCGGCCACTTTTTCACATACACTAGATAATGTCATTCTATTACCTGCCAAGAATGGTGTAATTGTGCAGAGTGTATTTCCAATCGATATTCGACCTAATTTTAAAAATGAACTATATTCATGTAGATTTTTAACAATAAAACGAAAATCATTTGTTCTTCTTTGGAAGCGATACTGAATACATCTGACATTTTCGGACGATTGAAGATTTCGTTCAATTTCGTCTTTGACATATTTGTCGTTGTATTGAAGAGGCACGTAACGTACAACAAGAGCAAATGAATCAGGAATAAATTTCGGTTTAATGACGGTAATATTCATATTATTGATTTGTAATGGCCATTTATCAGCAGATATTAATGTTGTGTACGACTCTTTGTTTTTTACTCCTAATTTTAATTTATTACCTGTATGACCGACGAGCGAAAACGCCATCAGGATTCCTTGTTGTTTGAAATGATTTTCAATTATGCTTGCTGCTAAAACATCGGATGGCCGATTCTTCAAGTTCCTATTCTGATCGTATTCGATTAAAAAACATGGCAAGTTGCTTGAAACAGCTCGTTTTAGCTGTGCAAACGGAAGACGATGTTGCTGCTGATTTGATGATTGTTGTAGAGGTTGAACTACTGCGGGGTTTTTATTTGATTGATGTCCATAGTTTGAAGCTAGTGATACATTCATTTGATTAGTATTTTTTGTTTTCCATTCGATAGAACACGATCAATTGGATCATTGAGCTGTTGAAGATATGAAACTTGAGTAAGGTGTTGATGAGCATCAAGTGCAATATCTGGGTTTTAACGGATGTATGCGATCATTTATTCCTAATTGTAATTCACTACTGCTGTTGTTTGATTAGTTTTTGACATAACGTTGGTTGATGAGTTTTGTAGCTGCAATTTGCCTAACGAACTTTTCTTTTTAATCGAGCCCATGTATCGATATAACAACATATATACCCCGGAAAAACCTAGAATTCTAGAATTCATGTACCACCTTGTATCCCCATGTAGCACCTTGTATTACCTTTTACCACCTTGTACCGCCTCCATGTGTCGATATAATAACATATATACTCGGGAAAAATTTGAAATTCTAGAATTCATGTATCACCTTGTACCATCATGTCTCGCGTCCGTGTGGTGATATAAGGGTTCTGTAGGCAGAAAAAGCCTAGAACTCCAGAACTGAGGTAATGACATGGAACGATATGTAATTCTATGATGTCAGTCAATGTACTGATCCGCGAGCATATCATTTTGGTAAAGCTTTAAACTTGAATTCAGCTGAGTTTTTAAGTTCCAAGTTTTCACCCTCGAATTTGAACTTTCAAGTTCCTAAATACACGCGAAGCTTGAAAAATTCAATCCAACTATTAAATAATTGAATAGTGGAACTTCAAATTTTCCATGCTTAAGCTATTCAATCGGTTAATATTGGAAATTCAACTACTCGAATACTCCATTAGTTCTCTAACGAATAATTAATGTTCAAGTATGCATTTTGGGAATAGTTGAAGTTCAACTGTTCAAGTATTCAGTTATTCAATAATTCAACAATTGAACTTCAAATATTGGATACATGTCAGTCCTGAAAGTTCAATTCTTCACTTGAATAAGCTTACCAATTTTTCCTGATACCGGTAAGCGCTTTTCCCTGCCTAAGTCAGCTTTATATCAGCGTCGCAGCGTGGGGGTGCTAAGCACCCTCGCCCCGAAGAGGCGCGAACCATGTTCGTATCTCTGTACACAGCAATCATACTATGTTATGTTTAAAACCACCACCGTCAACTGAAATACTTGAACTTGGAGTATTTAATAGTTAAATAGTTGAAACAACTTTTGAATAATTGAATTGAAGTCTGCAGTTTAACACTGTTGCGAAAGCACTGGCCGCAAATGGACTAATCGTGCAAGGAGTTGCAGCAATACGACACACATCACATCGCAGCTGGCGCGGGTGCCGCGAAAGAACTAATCGCGAGACGAGTCTCCACAATACAACACGCACCACATCGCAGCTAGTGTGGATGCTGCGAAAAGCACCGGTCACGAAAGGGCTGATAGCGAAAGGAGTTGCCGCAACACGACACACATCACACCGCAGCTGGTGCGGGTGCCGCGAAAGGAGTTGCCGCAATACGACACACATCGCATCGCAGCTGGTGCGAGTGCCGCGAAAGGAGTGGCCACGAAAAGGACCGGCTACCAAAGGACTGTTTGCAAAAGAAGCCTCCCAAATACGACACACATCACATCGCAGCTGCTACGAGTGTCATGAAATGACTGCCCGCGAAAAGCATCAGCCACGAAAGGGCTGATGGCGAAAGGATTAACCGCGAGAGAAGTCTCCGCAATACGACACCGCATCACATCGAAGCTGGTGCGGGTGACGAGAAAGGACTGGCCGCGAAAATGACCGACTATCAAAGGACTGTTTACGAAAGAAGCCGCCTCAATACGACACGCATCACATAGCAGCTGCTACGGGTGCCACGAAACGGCTGGGCGCGAAAGTACTGATTCCGGAAAGGACCGGCCGCAAATTACTAGCCGTCAAAGGATTGATCGCGGAAGGAGTCGCCACAATACGGCACACATCACATCGCAGCTGATGCGGTTGCTGCGAAAGGACTCGTCGTGAGAGGAGTGCCCGGGAAACAAGTGGTCGCGAAAGGACTCGCCACAGGAGGAGTCTCCACGAAACGGCTGCCTACGCAAGAACCGTCTACGATTAGACTGACCGCAAATCGAGTGGTCACAATACGGCACACATCACATCACCGCCGGTGTCAGTGCCACGAGAGATTTGAGATGCGAAAGTTGAAGTTCGAAAACTCAGTTGGACTCAAGTCCAAAGTTTACATATATGATCGGTTCGTGGGTCATTATATTGACCGACATCATATGACTATACGTCATTACATGTCATTATCCAAATTTCACAATTCTTGGCTATTTCGGGCTACAGATGGCATTATATCGATACACGCACGCAATACAAGCTGGTACAAAGTGGTGCATGGTGGCACATGAATTCCACAATTCTACGTTTTTCCAGGGTATATATGTTATTATACCGATACACGGATTCGATCCAAGGTGGTACAAGCTGGTACATGGTGATACAAGGTGGTGCATGAATTCTAGAATTCTAGATTTTTCCGGGGTATATATGTTATTATGTCGATACATGCACCTGATACAAGGTGGTACAAGGTAGCACATAGCCAGTTGTGAGCCGCGTGGTACAAGTTATACTGGTACTGGCGCAGCCCTCGGTCTGCATTGTGTTTGAAATTTTCATCTTGCGTATATTGTGTTAATAACTTTTATCATCATAAAATAGAATTCAACCTATTTAATGTAATTAATATGTTACCTTTATTTCAATTCGCAACTGATGACCATTTCTTATCTCCATATAAGACGTTTTGTGATTTAACTAGATCGATCGTAATGAAACATCATGAATTATTAGTTTGTATTAAAAGTAAGGGTGTGGGTGTTGGTGTATTTCAATTGGATACTCACGCTCACACTATACACCGGTCACCATCCACACCCATTCCTTATTATTCAGAAAAAGTTTCAACAAAAATTTATAGTCATTGCAGGAAAAAAAGAAATACATACTCAACATATAAACATATATGTGCTACCATATCTAACTACCTGCCCGTGTTTTGTTAATGTAAGAGAGTTGATGAAAATATGCTTTTACTTTTTTTTTCATATGTTAAATAAAGTTAGCATTCGTTCCGTGCGAGGCGAGAAAAAAACATAATGTGCAGGCTGGTTTGTCTGACTACTTGCCTTTTTCACTGAAGTGAAACGAAAGCAATATACGCATCAGTGATCAACATTATAAAAGAGGGTGACAAGTGTATTTCTCTTCATATTTTTTTATTTTTTGTACATTCATTTGAATTCATAGTTCGTGTGTTGAGTCATTCCTTTTTGACTCCAATTATTTTTGGCCATTATTTAAAGGTAACTATGAATACACTATTTTCATTTAGTCTGGACTATTTAGATGATATCTGTTCATATCAGAAGTCGTTGCCCTGATGAATAGCGTAGATCAGATTCCTGTTCTATTTTTGTTCTTGTAAATAAGCAAGAAGATCGGCAACTTATAAAGAAGTCGAGAATACGAAAGGTACCTTCTATTCTTTGAAACTTTTTTGCACAATCTATTCGCGTGATTTGAATATTGTGTTCTATGTGTTGTATACATAAGTTACTTACAAACACGCTGATCGATTCTTACATGAAGCTTCAGTTCATCCATCAGAATCGACTGCAATTTCGTCTTAGATATTCTTTGCACATATGTGATGTAGTAAAATACAGAAGTTTTTTCTGTGCAATATAATTTAAACAGAAGTAGATTCAGTAGTTCAGAATTGCTAGATGCTCTAAAACAACACTCATTACGTTGTATATTTGACACAAGGCGATCAGACAATTTTTGTGATAGTAATATGACGCAGATTAAACAAAACTTTTTCATTTACAGTCCGTAATTGCACTAAAATCTAGAACACATAGAAGAGATTAAAGTTGGAACCACCATTCCTAATGCTATTTTGATTAAAATACGATACAGATGAAGCCAGTCCAGTTTCTTGAAGATCGGCACTAGTATTAGTCTGAATAGGTCAGACCTGACATCTGAAATGATATCACTTTTGGCCATGGTTGGTAGCGATTCTCTTTTAGGACAATGTTATTTGACATGGCTAGGTTTCAAGAAAAGCTTGTTAGTGCAGCTCCTTTAAGACTGAAATGTGGAATTCACGTATCTTCTTTAGTTTGCAGTGGTATAGCCAATGGAGGGGCAAATGGGCAAATGCCCGTTTCATTTGGAGATTTGCCCATTGAAGTTTTACTTTTTCAGAATGGTTTATTTATTTTCGAATTAGATGATAACGCTATTTTTAATCTTCCATCTGAATTACACATACACTTTTTGCTTGTTCTTTTTGTGAACAATTAAGAAAAGAATTGCTTCTGGTATTTTAACCAGGGTTACTAGATGTAAAACTTGAAAATCAGAAATTCCTGTTTTCCAAATCAGAAAGAGTAACTTTTTGCAAACCAATGACTATCATGTTGACTTACTTGCACAAAAGGCTTCACTTTTTCTGTTTATAGACTCATACTTTATTTCCAAAAGTATTTCATAGTAAAGAAAGGCAGCACAAACATTATATAACTCAGAGAAAGATCCTGTACTATAAATTAAGGAGATTGATCATAGTCAAATCAAGTGAATGCACTCACTGTCAAACCAACTAATTAAAAATGTGAGTTGCCAATAGCATACACAGACTGAAATATTCGAATTTCAAAAAATTTACAGTTTCTCATGTGCCAACACTACGAAATTTCATCAACACTTAGTTTTCTTTTTCCGTCATGGTTGAA